TTTTTGATCCCATTCCGCATTGAGCTAATATTATTTAAGTCTATTCGGATCCTTCGTATTTCACAACATTCTACCCACAAAGTTTTTGCTGCCTTTTGAATGCTTACATGATCATCAGTAGCATTGAGACTTTCTTCCACAAGTGTGACATATACAAGACCTTCACTCACGCCACTCCGCAAGCAATCAACTATGTTCTTTTGGATTTTAGGAAGAGATATGGCGATGGTTGTCAGGGTTACCAGAGGTAAGCTCCAGCAATTAAGAGGTTCTTGTAAAAGTAAAGGTGGAACATGATGGATGTCAAAATTTTCAACTCCTTCAAAACCTGTAGATCCCTTTAGAAGCTTCATAAGATTGGAGAGTTGTTGTTTCAGCCTTCTTGATCAAGCGGTCGAAAGATTTTGAAATCCGTTTCATTGTTATCTCAGCAAGCTCCATATCGTCTTGAAGTTGTAAAACATAATGGCTAAAGTTTTCATTTGTTTCATGTTGCTCAGTGGTTTTTACAAACACAATACCAAATGCAATTAACATCGACTTTAACCACTTCCAACAACAGGAACAATTAAAGATACAGATCACTATGAAAACTGGGATGAGGCCTATTATCTTGCATGCTACCACAACTGCCTTCTGAAATCCTATGCAAAAGCCGAGGATGAGGACTTCAAAATTGTGGACAAAAAACTTAAACTTGCGGCTACAAGAAAAGAATGGTATGCTACTCTGTTTCAAATCAAATAACTTCTGAGTCCAGTAACTCTCAACTTTAAAGACTTTCATACTGTTCCAAATCCATTTTATGGACAGCTTAAAGCTTAAGGCTGCAAAACATCTACAAAGTGGGGCAATAGTACCCAACAAGGATCCGATAAATTGTATTATGAGTATCACCATCATTGACCACTTATAATCCGACTTATAGTCCTTTGTACGTCCAACAGTGAAAAGCATAATAATTACATGCAAGACAGTACTTAAAGCGCATACTACCCCAGAAGCAGAGCCTGTAGCAGAGCAAGCTGTCATGAACTGGGGGTTTCCAGTTCCTGCCATGATCCAGTAGTTGCTCACATGCTTCTTTAGCTTCTCAACAGTTAATCTTCCTGGTTCAAGTTGTTGGTCCTTTAAAGCTGCTTGGTATTTCACTTCTAGTAACTGTTTGGACTTTAGAATCGCTATAGATGAACATGCATGTATCATCAGCAACATCAGTATCATAGCAACGTAAATGATTGCTATTGACTGATTGTAAAAACTCAAATAGTTTGAATAATGATCACCACCTAACCTGTGCTCCACTTCAGTGTTGGAAACAACACCGGTTTTTATTTGAATGCAAACATTCACAACCAATGTAATTACCAGTACAACCAAAGCTATGATGTTTGTGAAAAGTTCCTTGCTATCCATGGTTGCTAGAGAAGGCAATAAATTAGCCATCATGGTGTACATAAATCCCATGCTTCCAATTTTTGTAAACTGGTCCACGTCACCTGGCATCAAACTGCTTAGATCCATGGGTAGCTTCATTGCAACAGCTATTATAGATAGAGAAGCAGCATTCAGAGTGGAGTATTTACACGGAAACCATAGTTTTCTGTTCCTCAAACCATGTATTAAATCAGCCACCATTGCAAGGGTGCAAAACAGAGATGCTATGGCGATATAGATCCCAATCCATGGCATGGGTTCAATGAAACTATTTTGCCGATCTGACCGATATACTATCAAAGCGTAAGACCGCAAGGAATTTATCAAATCGTTTGGAACATTACCATAATACTCTAGTTGGTTCAAAAGCTTGAGATATTCAGTTAGCTTCGAACCAACATTTATGTGCATCTCAGTGGTAGAAAATGATGATCTAAGATAAATTAAAGGTAGTGCAGGAAGATGGTTTAGATATGGAAATTGCAGGATTTGTTTTTATAGAGAAAAAAAAATAGCTGTTGTATTTCAAACTGTATAGAAGGAGTGGACAGGAACGTCAAGGGTTTAAGGTAAGGAAGTGAAAGAGGAAAGTCGTGATATTGTCCAAACAGGTTGTGTTTCTTTAGGTTTTAATTGAATTAGCTTGACTGTTGGATGAGGTCCTTATCACATCTAAATCAATTAGAATTTAAAACCAGCGAGATGGAAACTTAATAATTGGGGAAGAAACTACAAGGGAGTTTCTTAGAAGCCCGAAAGTAATGCATACGTCTAATACTCCAAGAAAAATGAATTTAAAACAACCAACAAGCCGTCTGTTACCTGTTGCAGCTCTTGAAATGTTAACCAAGTTCACGCATGGTCAACATTAACAATTATTGTTTTTGTTTCTTTGCAGTTGTTTCAATCTTAAAAAACCATACTTCAAGAAATCAATGTTTGCAGACAACTACTGACCATGAAAGATATTTGCGTTTCAACAAACGTTCGTACGACCAAATAAACAAAGAACATGTAATAATCAGTATACAAAAATATATCAAAAGTAAATTAGTTGCTATTTATTTTTATTTTTTATTTTTTTCCAACAGCCGGAATTTATTAATAATGCTAGCCAGAAGTTAAAAAACGAAAAAACATTACCGGAGTCTTTTTTTTTTAACCGCAGCAAACATATATTAAAAAACCGCTAGCTAGGAGCTAGCAAATAAAAAATACAAAACTAAGGTAGCATAGGATTATGCAACCAAGCAGAACAAAATTAATACTATCCTTAAAACATTCCTAGAAGAAAACCAACGAAAGGAATGTTCAAGAATAGTATAAAAATAAATTGATTCATAAACTCCAACGAGCAGAAAAGAACCGCATCCTATAGGCCCCGATCACCCAAATCACCGTCATGCACACATACTCCACAATCACCCGTTCCATTCAAGTTGTTGGCCTACTATCAATTCAATTCAATTGACCATATCCAAAGGAGCCAAAAAAGAAGGAAGCTTCAAGTCAAGCCACAAATCAACCTGTCTCCAAATTTGTTGCACTATCTAACATTGGAAAAATAATTGTGAGATATCTTCCAGACCCAAGTGACAGATAGGGCAAATAACCGAATCCAACTCCAAACCTCTATCCACCATAATCGATCTAAGAGGAAGACGATGCAACAAAAAACGCCATAAAAAGATATTAACTTTAATAGGAACGTACTTGTTCCATCTTATAGCAATATTTCCCATCGGAAGTCTAACGGAATCAATTTGTCTTCTAGCTGTCTTAACTGAAAAAAGTACCACTTGAACCAAACTCCCAACTCCATTTATCTGGAATAGAGGTCAACACAATCGGCCTTAAAAGACCCATAAGATTCCCGAATTGCAAGGCCTCTACCCCACCTCTAATAGACCGATGCCAAAAAAGACTCCACTCCTCATCGGTCAAAAATCACGAATAAAGGCCTTTTGTAAGAAGATAAAGCATAAAGCCTATTGAATTGAGTCTTAAACGAGACACCCCCACACCAATTGTCATCCCAAAATCTAGCCATAGGCCCATCTCTAACAACAATAGACATTGAAGGTGAATCCAACACATTCCTGCCATGTAAAGGGTTTATGGATCCAATAATTTTCTCCCACACCCCACCCCTACAAGGGACCAAGAATCCTGAAAAAAGCCACCACCAACTCCGTGAGGACTCTTAATAAGTCTAACTTAGAGAGAGTCCCCTTCATGTAAGAAGCACCACTTCCATTTGTACAATAAGTCGAGATTGAAGGCATATAAGATACCAATATCTAATCCACCATTTTCTTTGGATATGAGCTACATGCCATTTCACCCGGTGAATACCTTTGCAATCCTCCTCTAAAACCCAGAAAAAACAAGATCAATAAGATTCTGACAAATGACTCTAAATATATGTGGAGCCCCATATTAACTCTCCAAATGAGCTCTTGTGGAGAGAAGGGAGACTCCAACATATGTAGTTACTTATATTACCATGTCGCACCGATATGCGATACACTAACACTCCACCTCATAGTTGCATGCTCTGTGAGGATAGGCGGGGATGTGTTGAGCCACGGGGGTGCGGGACGCCGACTCTGATACAATGTGAATATATGTGGACCCTCATATTAACTCTCCAAAAGAGCCCTTGTGGAGAGAAGGAGACTCCAACATATATAGTCATTTATATTACCATCTAGCATCGATGTGGCAGACACTAACAATGACAAATAGTAGTAGGAAATCGAAAGGTTGAGAAAAAGTATATACCTAGACTTTCAAGGACTGATTTTAATATAAGAGTGAGACGGCCTCCAATAGAAAGAATTTTGATTTTCAAAGAGGATAATCTTTTTTGAAATTGATCAGTAATAACATCTAAACTCAGGAAACGAGCCATAGACCCACCAATCGGGATACAAGATAAGAAAAAGGAAGGGAAGCCGAGATACACCTAGTAAATGCTGCTAGAGAGGAAATTTCATAGTGATTCACACCCACACCCATAAGACTAGATTTAAGGAGATTAATCCTTAAACCAAACATGTCACACGCGCGGCCGAGGCGGTGGAACACGACGGGCTGTTCGACTAAGTTCATGGATCACACCTAAACTGAATATATAGCACAAGTACAACAATAAACAAAATAGCATTCGTATTCCATCTTGATATTTGAATACAAGGTTGTTACGGATAATAATAGTACATGAATTGCCTCAACAGATATGCAGATAATATAACAGCTAGTAAACTATGTCATGTAATCCAATCTGTCTTGTATGTCTGTTTAGTGATTTCCTAAGAATACATGTAGTTTTGAGGGTCAACACAACGTTGGTGAAAGTTACAGGTTTTCTGCTAACAGCAATAATACTTTTTAAAAGTCTAAAAAGTATGTTTTTGTATGTATAACAATAGTTAAAACAGTGTTTGCAATGAGTCTTTCAAAGCCAAAATGTATTTTTGGATAAGTAAATTCATACTTAAAATAGTTTTGAAAGCAACCAAGCTCATGGTTTGTAGTGAGAGAGAGAGAGATATTCCAGTTAATGTTTATAGTGATTCCTATAACCGATCTATGTGACTGAATGTACCCACTACAACGCTTCATTGGACGTTGTAGTACAATTGTAGACACTTATCACCCGATTCGATTGATCGGTAGAGGTTGTAGCTAGCAACCGCAGGTGGGGATGTCAACCCCGTATAGATCTATACATATGTATCTCGCTTCGAAGATTAACGGTTATAGTAGTGTGAGTATGCTATGTGTTTAGACTCAACTAATGAATATAGTCTCACTAAAAATCCCTTAGCCAAAGTTTGTGAATAGCTCTCAGCCCTAACTTAATTGTGATTAAGTCACTAGGCATAATGAATTTCAATGTATAAAGTTTATAAAAGTTGAGTATGTTTCGTATGTGTGTAAAAGTGTAATGTACTCGATAAGGAGTATGCTTCGTATGTATCCTTCTTGATCCTCATCTGATCGAGAAGGAGAACCCCGATTGAGAACAACCACATGGTCGATCAATGGTCCAGTGGGGAAAATCGTGAGGAGGGTGAGCAAAACAAGAGGTCGTTGCCTCTTGTTGTTCATCGGGAAAAGGAATCACCACCTCTCGGTGCTTTACTTGTCCGGAAAGGAGGATGAAGTGAGGGCAGCAAGGGCTGCTTGAGCAGCTCTTGTGCTCTTCTGTCTTGGAATGAGAGTGCGAAGGCAAGGGGTTCGGTGTGGCTAAGAGATTGTGAAGGGAAGGAGGCCAGAAAAAGGGTTCGGTGGAACAATAGCGTCGCAGGTGGTGTGTTCGATAGTGTTTGCTTGACGGGAAGAAGGGAAAGGGTCTCCGGTAACCTCATTGCTTCATCTATCCTTTTTTGTGGCAGTTCCGATCAATCAACAGGTAAAGGGTACTTTGGGGCTGTTGTTTATTGAAGAAGCAAGTGACGAGGAGGCTGGAATGGGCAGTGTCGGCCCTTTCTTTTCTTGTTTGGCTGATGAGCCACAAACGGGAAGGAATGAGGTAGAAATCGGGAGTGACAAAAGGTATCATTTTTTGGAGAGATTTGAATGTATATTATGTGTACTTTGAACGAGATTTAGAATCAACAAGAAATGATTTTGATCAGATTTTTGGGTTGGAGCATTTGTGATATAGAAGAGATTGTGTGTTTGTACTAAGCATATCATTCTTACTTTATGTGTGTGTGCAAATTATGAGTGAATTTGAGGGTGTTTGTGTGAGGGAGAAGGAGTAGGTGAGGGGTGATAAGGGTAGAGTGTGAAAGTGATTGAAATAGTATCAAAATTTGATCTTCAAGGATTTTGGTAACTTGAAAGATTTACAAATGATTTTGGTTGTATAAAATAAAATCTAAAAAAACATATATTATAGATTAATTTGTAAGGTATACACACATTCATATTTGGGATTGATTTTTGGTAACTTTTAAAAGATATTGTAAGGTTATACACAACTACATGCAATGTACTTCCAATTTATTATTTTAGTGTCGAATTCGTCACCTATTTTCTCGATTTTTTATGTTAACAGATCTTGATGTGTAAAAGTCATTATGAGGGTGCCTGTTTATTGTTTCGGTCGTGGTGATTCCTGAAACGTAGACGGAATTGAATTGTGGTATACTGATGTCCGTGGCATGAAATGACGGTTAAAGTTTCGCATTTAATTAAGCAGGAAACGTCTAATTTTTAAACTTTTATAAATATTTTTACTAAAAATATTTCAAATATTAAATTAAATATTAGACTATAGTCTGGGTCCAAAAACACTCTCGAAATTTTCATTTGAGGTGTGCAAGTCCCTCAACGGATAGAAACGGTTTTAGCAGTTTTACGAAAATCAATATTATATTGGTTTGGATTCTTAAAAC